TATATATATATATATATATATATGTATTTATATTATGTACATAACGAGTACTTAACGTTAATCAGTTCTAACACGTTGGATTAAGCGGATCCACGTTAATGAACCGAAGCTGTAGCGCCACGGAAGGAACCAGCCACTCTCTATTATTATTACTTCTCGTTAGCCGAGTACATTAGTCGCAACGATAATATTCTTCATCTTTTTTAATCCATTTTTCTTTATTTCTTTGTCTCTTTCTTTTTTCTTTTTTTATCGAAAAATACTGCGCGCCAACGACCGCGACTCCGTTCATCATCGACGTGACATAATAAAATACAATAATCGAATAGACGATTATATAATTCGCTATACAACGACGGATAAGAAAATAACAAAAAAGCGATCGATAGTTTCCATTATTATTAAGCCGTCATTTTAATTCTCCATCCCCTCTCATCCCTCTAAATCCGAATCGAATAGCTAGCTATTTATTTAAGAACAACAAGATCCCACGCTCCGTCGTAACAACGAAGACGAGAATACTGATTATTGGTGTTTTGGCAGCCGATATCTGCGCAGCATGCGAAATAACAATCTCCTCATCCTTCTCCCGATCGATCCTCTTCGCATTCTGCGTTACGCGACATCGCGTCCAACATCGACACACAACGTAAGAAACTTCCCTCGTAGGTAGATAAGGAAGAAATCTCTTTCCCTTTCCTTCAGGCAATTGATGATTGATGAAAGAAACAGGTGGGCAGTGGTTTCTTGATTTTTCAACGATCGATCAATTGTCGCATCAAGCATCCGACTATTCTTCATCCTCCAAGCGTTTGACGTCTCTCGTCTATCACCACCAGGCACTTTTTCCCGCTTTTGAGAAGCCGATTCTGTCTCTGGTCGATCGAAGCAACGCATCTTCTGAGACAGATGAGAGTCGTCGGAATCGACGTGATCGTCGATCGAGCTGGCGGAAACGGCATTACGAGCGTCGTTACAGACACCGTACTATCGAGTGGAACGATCGATCCGACTGCTTCGTTCTGTCCAGTGCTTCGCAGGCTGGGAGGCCGGGTCGGAGAGTTACGTGGACGTCGATGGCGACGGAGAGATTGGGTCTGGTTGGTAATACCTCATTCCGTTTATCTGGAATATTTTAAGTTTTTGTAGTTTGATTCGATGATGAGCTGCTTTTTCTTTTTTTTAATCATATTTTTTTTAAGTGGTAACTTAACTAGATCTCGATTTAATGGCGAAGTTTTCTTTCTGTTTTTAAAGAAGAAAAAATATTGCATTTTAACAGAAAGAAAAATTCAATTCTTTGTCTTTTTGCATTTTTTAGTTTTAATTTTACTTGAAATGATGTCAGATTTAATAAGAATTATATAATTTTTATAATATAATAAGAATATATTTAAATAAGAATATAATTATATATAATAAGATATAATATAATAACAGATATATAATATAATAAGAATATAAATATATATAATTATATATAATATATATAATAATAAGAATATATTTAATAATCAATAAAATGAAGATTGTTTGCAGAAATGCAGACAATTCTAAGTGCAATAATTTTATAAATGATTGTTTGATTTTATCATGCATATTTTCTATCAAAAAAGTAGAGAACTTTCTTGGTTATCTAATAATTCCAAATAGTTTCGATTTTATTAATTGCATGCTTCGAGATACGTATATTTATTACTTCAACATTGTCCAAATAAAAAATAGCGTAATATGAATAATATTGTCAGGAATAGCACATTTGGTATAAAAGAATTATAAAAAAGAAATTCCAAGGAATCCTCACCGTCATATCATATTCCGTGATGTAAGCTGGGATCTCCAATTGTTCAGGAGACATCACTTCATAAAGATATTCTACTCCAGGTAGATTGTGAACCTTTTGTTTGATGGCTGGAGCCATGAACGTCGTGAACCACCACGTCATCATCTGCAAAAAATAACAAACGAATTATCAAATAATACTGCCACGTATTTTCATGATTCCACTTAAATCAATTTTATTCTAATCGAAGAATATTAACATAATTTCTCCTGCCATATTATACTAACGAGATGGAACAAAGAAAGAAAGATCCAATTATTTTCCTTCGCCTCATCGACATCCTCGTTCGTCTTATACATGATTCTTTTGATTCTTTAACAATCTCGTATCTAGTTCGTGAGATAATAATTAGCCTCGTGTAAGGATCAAGGATACGTTTCCCATGAATTTGCAAATCATAAATGCATTTTGTTAAATAGATACCGGAAGGACAGGAAGTTCGATACGATCGTTCGATTAACACTGAAGAAAACGTGGGAAATGAAAAAAGACTGATTTTGCGTCTTAAAACGTGAAGTTTATCGATATTCTTTATCGATTCTCATTATTAAATTGTTACATAATAAATGCCACTCCTCGAAAAGATCTTGTTTGATCAGTTAATTTAAAATCATGAAGTGGATTATACATGGATTGTTTTTATTCACGTATTATTTTTTTAATTTTTTAATTTTTTGTTTAAAATGCATTAGTCTATTTATTCCTTTCATCGATTTGATAATATTAAAGCAGTTACAATTTTTACAAAAAAAATATTCATGTATATCGTTATTTTCCTTTAATTAAGCACATTTTATTAAATTTCATTTTCATAGTATCAAATATTAATATACTTGGATTTAATTAATTAATATATCTTTTGCGCTAATTACTTTTTTTATACATTGATTAGTTGCATCATGTAAATGTAAATAAATTGGATTCTTTCTTCTGCTTGGAATAATAAATTATATTTATGATAAATTAATAATTTGTTTTGTTCAAAAATCAGAAAGAATCTTTATATATTGATAAACATAATTAAAAAAGCGTTACAAATTAGGTAATAATCTAATTATCAGAAAGTAAGCTGATATTACTTTATTAATAATAATTTTCATATTATCATAGCAATTTCATTATATCATTGGTTTTCAAAGTTATATGTTTAAATCATGATTTAAATATATTTGAATATATTTTTTTATTAAATGTAATAAAAAAAATAGGAACAAATGTTTCGCAGATAAAAAATATCAATGACTTTGAGAAAAATAAAAAGAAATTTCTTCATCCAAATATTCATTTGTGTCACATCATGAAAAACAAAGGAAATATTTAGGTCTTCAATTGTGACACATTATATAAATAATATGATAAATATAATAATGTATAAATACTTTTCATAACTACTTTATACATATTAAGTTTTAAGAAAGAGAAAAAGATGTATTTTTAATTAATTTATATTAATTATAATATTTACCTTGGTCCAAAAAGTCGGATGAATAATGTAAAAGTGTTTCAGATTCTTCTTATATCTGTAACAAAAATATTTCAATATAAATTTGATGTTAAAAAAACAATGATATTATACAGATGCACATGCATTTTATTAAATTAAAGTAATATATATCTATATTATATCTTATAAATTTTTCTTTGAAAATAATCGATTTAAATCAGTTAAAATTCTTATTATTATTTCAACAAATCAATATCTTTTTTATTTAGTCAAGTTAAGATAAGATAAAAATATAATGCAAAATTATTATTTAAATTAGTATTATCGCTGATATTAATTATTGCAGTATATAATTTATTTTAAATGTTATACTTTCAAATAGTTCAAATTTAATTTTTTGTAGTTTTACATAATCGAAATTTGTAAGTCAAATCGACATCAACAATTACTGCATTTTAAAGAGTACATTAGATCATCTATAGATCCGTCAGATAATTTTTTTAAAAATGAAAAAACAACTAAACTGCGTTATAAGATTTAAAAAAAAATAAAGACAGAAAATTTATAATAAAAAAAATTAAAAAAAAATTCAAGTAACAAATGAAAACACACAATTATTGAAAATCTCACTTGTAAGGAAGCACATTGTATACTTCGCGCAACCAATGTAGACTGGGATAATTGTTGCTAGTCGTTAACGTATGGAAATAAGCGATCACGTAATCTCCTTTGACAATGGGATCCAACAACTGTATTAGATATAGTAATGCCTGAAACAGAAGTAAACAATTTTTCGTTAATAAATTTTTAAAAATCTTTTTTTTTCGTTGTTACAATTATATATTATATTTAGTAACTTCGCCAATATAATTATATTCCAGTTTCCACGAATATTTTTCAAATAGGATCATATACATACTGGCAAAAGATTAATGAAATTTATGATACCAATGGAAGCTTAAACAAAATGAATTGCATGAAACATAAGAACATAAATAATTAATGCGATAGTGTAAATTCAGAAAGATAATACAGGAAATAGTAATTTTATATATAAAAAAAAAGATAGAAAAAAAAAATTATGATTACTTATAAATCTGAAAGGATTCATATTAATTATTTTTCAAATTAAAATTTTTTTTCAAAAGATTATTTAATCAAGATATTTTACTCTTTAATAAATTCTAAATTATGAATATTATTATGTGACAATGTAAATTTTTAAAATAAATTAAATTTATTTTATTAATTTAATTTAGTTGATAAAAAATATTATAATTCAAAATGTTTTTTATTTTATTATAATGTTTTTTATTTTATTTATTATTTTTAAAAATTTTCAAATCTAACTATATTTTATACTTCAAATATCAAACCAAATATTATTTAATTCTCCAAAAAAATTTTCCAAAAATTTCCCAAGTCAAAATAAAATTACCAATTTTACTATTCGTCAGAACGAAGTCCATTGAATTTCCAATTATTAATCTCTAAAAAATTTCTCAATTGAAAACTTCATTTTCATTTTATCATCATTTTATAAACACTATTCAATTTATCCAACACAATTTCAACTCCTCAAAATATTCTTAAATCAAAACTACATCATTTAATTATCCAAAAAGTTTCAAAGTCAATATAATTTTACTATCCTTATAGAACTCTATTCAATTTTCAATTATTAATTTGAAAAAATTTTTCAACACAATTCAATTCTTCAAATTCTTGAATCTTCATTTCCAAACCAACTCAAATTATTCCAATTAAATCGTGTCATAGAATCGACTAAATGTCACACAAGATACACAGGACAAACGCCAGTCTTTGATCCTGGCGAAGCGCACTCGTCATCACGTTTTAATCGATCGTGCCGCTACAACTAGAATTAGTACTCTGGTTCCTCGCCCCTAAAGCGGAGGTCGTGGAAATCAGGTCGGAGGCCTTGTGACGAAAAAAAGAGCAACCAGATCCTTTGCGCATTGACAGAGAAACATTCAAGATGGACAAAGAAAGTATAAGGAAAAGTCGAGCGTTTCCTTAATGCCAGATATCGATTCGATAGAACATGGTTAGATTAGAATGAAATGAAAAAAAATTTGCTAATTTTTAATTTTTTCTTAGCATGAAAATGATTAGTTTTAAAGAAATTCCATTTAAAAAGATTTCATAATAAATCTTGAAATTTTAATTTTCTATTATTATTATTTTTTTTAAGTACATATTTCTTATTTATATTTTAAAATGAATATTATATTCCCAATATATATAAATATATAAATTAAAAATATTCGTGAAATGATAATTTTTTTTTAATCTATTTTATCTAATATAATCTCTTTATTTAAAATTATTTTTAAATAAAAAACGTTATTTATATTATTATAAATTACCGAATAAAAATTTCCAATAAATAATAATAATAATAAAACCACGGATAAATAATAATAATTTTTAAACGATACTTAGCATCTTAAATGATTTTTCGATCAAATTCAAATTTTGATATTAGAGAAAATTTATATTATTTATTAAAAATTTATATTATTAGAGAAAATATTTTCTGCTCTGTTAAAAAAAAAGTAAAGAATTAGCAAAAAAGAACTTATTATGTTTCGTTCCGTTCTATAACACTCTATGCGGGAAAAGTTTGTGATCGAAAGAGAAATAAGAGAAAGTCGATTGTTTCCTTTCGTTAGATATTGTTTCGAGTAAAGAAGAATGGTTAATGTCAATTGTCGAGGATCTTTACCACCCCATACTGTTTTCTCCCTTTCATATCTCGACGTCATTGATGACGTCAGAAGGCCTGCGCGGGTGTATTTTAATCCGATATCACAGACATCTAATATACATATGGGTCGAACGATATTGTAATATTAAATTCTACGTTCTGATAAATTAGGGCAGATCGAAAAGAAATGGAAAATAGACTTTCTTTCTTTTTTTTTTTAATAAGAAATTAAAATATTAAAATTTAGCGCAATTTTTTTTTTTTTTTTTTTTGATTTTCGTGATTTTCTTTTTTAATAGAGAAATGACCTGTGATATCATCTTTTTTATATATAACAATATTTATATATAACAATTTTCAATAACAATGGATGGACGAATAAAAAGTAGTAAAAATTAAATTTTTTGGAATATAATTTGAATTTAATATTTAAAAATATATTTCATTTAT